CCATTTGTTTCTTATTCTCTGTACATTTCCCCCATTCTCTCCTTCCCACTGATAGCCTTCCATGTGGTCTCCATTTCTGTGATTCTGTTCCTGTTGTAGTTGTTTGCTTAGTTTGTTTTTGTTTTTGTGTTTTAGTGGGTTTGTTGCCATTTTACTTTTCCTGTTTTTAATTTTCTTTTTCTTAGATAAGTCCCTTTAACATTTCATATAATAAGGGATTGGTGATGATGACCTCCTTTAACTTGACCATATCTGGGAAGCACTTTAACTGTCCTTCAATTTTAAATGATAGCTTTGGTGGATAGAGTAATCTTGGGTAAAGTCATGAAGCCTTTCATGACTTCAAATACTTTACAGCTCCTTCTTGCCTGCAAGGTGTCTTTTGAGAAATCGGCTGATAGTCTCATAGGCACTCCTTGGTAGGCAACTCTCTCGTTTACTCTTTCAGCTTTTCAGATTCTCTACTTATCTTCAATCTTGGGTAATGTAATGATGATGTTCCTTGGTGTGTGCTTCCCTGGGTCCCTGGGTCCAACCTCTTGGGGACTCTCTGAGCTTCCTGGACTTTTTAGAAATCTATTTCCTTTACCAGATGAGGGAAGTTCTCCTTCATTATTGTTTCAAATAAGTTTTCAATTTCTTGCCCTTGTTCTTCTCCTTCTGGCACCCCTATGATTTGGATGTTGGGATGTGTAAAGTTGTCCTGAAGGTTCCTAAGCTTCTCCTCTCTCTTTTTTTTTTTTTTTATTTTGAATTCTTGTTTCTTCATTCTCTTCTGGTTGGATGTTTATTTCTTCCTTTTGTTCCGAATTGTTGATCTGGGTCCCCCTTTCTTTCCCGTCACTGTTAGTTACCTGTATATTTTGTTTTATTTATTTCACTTTTCATAGCCTTCACTTTTTCCTCTATATTGGGACCATACACAACCATTTCTGTGAACATCCTGATTACCAGTGTTTTGAACTCTTCATCTGGTAGGTTGGCTATTTCTTCATCATTTAGTTCTTTTTCTGGAGTTTTGATATGTTCTTTCATTTGGGCCATAATTTTTGTCTTCGTGTGCCAGTTACATTGAAAGGGGCTGAGCCTTAGGTATTCATTTAGTTGTGGTGCTATATGTGGGGGAGGGTTCTGAAAGGGAACAGTGGCACTGGATTCTCTGGCTGGCATCCATTCATTTATTCTGCTACCCACAAGCAAATTGGGCCCTCTTGTGCTGATTTCCAGGAGGGTGGTTTTGTCTATGTTCTTGTAGCTCTTGGTCTATCCAACGGACTCTCCTATGAGGCTGGGAGTTTTCTCCTGTCACCTTAACGCTGACAGGTTTTACAGTCAGAGGTTTTGAGGCTCTGTTTCCCCGCACTGGAACCCTGGTTTGCATGGTCTCTCCCACCCCCCCAGTTGTCCGTCCGTCCGTCTGTCCCCCCCCCCCCCCCTTATCCACATGCAAATGTAGGACCACCTGGTCTGACAGCCACCACCTTGCTGTGAGTCCTTTCTACCCTGGCTGCCTATCTCTGCCCCTCCTACAGGTCTGGATGAATGTATCTTTACCTCCTTGGTTGTCAATATTCCATACAGTTTGATTTTCTGACAGTTCTGATTGTTTTTTGTTTTTAAATTTTATTGTTGTCCTTGGTTTGTGGAGGCACAGTGTGTTCCTCTGTCTCCATCTTGGCCAGATGTCTCCTTATGATAAGTTATAAACAAAATAACTTAAACCAATATCAAGGTGTTCTCTTTATATTCGTTCTTAAATTTAGATTCTGTTTAATATTTTACCATATTTGCTTTATTACATTTTTCCATTTTTCCTTTCTTGTGTTCAAGATATATTTTATTGTACACCATAATATTTCAGCCTTTTCTGGAAGTAGATATATCTTTTCAATATGTAGTTTCAATTCTTATATTTTTAGAAAGTGAACTTGTTAGGTCAGAGAACATACATTCAATTTTCATTACTTGAAGGCTTCTCAGTAAGGGAAACAGTTTCCTATAGTCTAGTAAATCAACCTTTAAATTTATCTATAGTTTTCTCTGTTCACTTTTGCTGTTTACCTATATTTATGATACATTGAAATTATAGTGTTAATACAATTTTATGTTCTTTTATCATTAAATTTGTTAGGGTAAGCATTTAAAAATGCTTATTTGGTCTAGCCCTGATGGTGTGCCTCAGTGGGTTGGGTATTGTTATGCAGACAGAAAGGTCACCAGTGCGATTTCTTGTCAAGGCACATGCCTGGGTTGCAGGCCAGGTCCCTGGTTGGAGGGGTGTGTGAGAGGCAACAGATTATGTCTCTCACATTAATGTTTTTCTCCCTCTCTTTCTCCCCACCTCTCCTTTATCAAAATTAAATAAAATCTTAAAAGATATAAAAATGTTAATTTGGTCTGGTAATCAGTAGTATACTACAGCTAGTGTCTTCTTGTCTATGGATTCCTTTGTATTATATTTTTAAGCAATATTCCAATTAGTTTGTTATTTAACAGATCAAAGGATAAAAGCATATCTAGTTATAAATTTTTTTTAGTAATTTTTTTCCCAGAAGGATATTTTTTGGTAGTGTATACATCTTAGTGAAATTTCAGGAACTTGGGATATTAACAAAATAAAAGAAATAATTTATTAAATATAAAATGTTAGTTTCAGGCTGATAATTATATTGTCCAGTAGTTTCAGCTAATTAAAAAGAATTTTTAGCCCTGGCTGGCATAGCTCAGTGGATTGAGTGTGGGCTGCGAACCAAAGTGTTGTAGGTTCAATTCCCAGTCAGGGAACATGCCTGGGTTGCAGGCCACACTCTCTCTCTCTCTCTCTCTCTCTCTCTCTCTCTCTCTCTCTTCCTCCTCCTCCTCCTCCTCCTCCTCCCCCCCTCCCCCCCCTCCCTTCCCTCTCCAAAAAATAAATATAAATATTTTAAAAAAGGAATTTTAAAAAAGTTATTGAATGATTTTGAGAGAGAGAAAGAGAAATAAAAACAGATTTGTTGTTGTACTTATTTATCCATTCATTGGTTGATTCTTGTATGTGCCCTGACTGGAGATCGAACCTGCAACCTTGGCATCAGGAGTATCAGCATGATACCTGGCCAGGGCTTTGAGCTAACTATTATACCAATATTTCAGGTAAGGAGATGTGATCCGAGAAGTTAAAGCAGTTTTCTCAACTGGCACAGCTTAAAAGGAGAAGTTCCAGTTGTCTGAAAAGAAACGTTTCTTTTCTTACTCCTTTTCATGGATGAAAATGTATTCCCTATTTTTACTTTCATAATTATATATTGTAGATAGTCTCTAATTTTAAGAACAGCTAACCTACAGCAACCTCCAAAACTATGTTGAAATTGTTATAGGCGATAGTGGGACATTTTTCATTCTTTGGCTTAATGAAGAATTTCCTTTTAGGAATATAAGTACATTACATTTTTGGTCTCTTCTTGGTTTCTCCCACTAAATTAATTGTATGATAGTTGCGTGGCTCTCAATGTTGGTTGCACAATGGAGTCATCTAGGGGGTTTCAAATAAAAATACTAATGTCTGGTCCACATCTCAAGATATTTTGATTTAACTGATGTGTGGTTAAAAGGTATTTAAGTAATTCTAATAAGCAGTTAGTTATAGCTGACAACTAATGGTGTAAATGTTTGAAATCATTGTCATATTTGGTGTCCTTTAATATAGCTAAGTGTTATCTCAACTGACAGTATAATCACCTGGTCCCTACCCCATGTACCAAAACTGACTTTCCTTAGCATAGTCTCTAAATCTGTTTTTTAATTTTTATTTTTTAAGTTTCCCAGTTGCATCTGATTATCTAGGTTTGGGGTACTAGAAAGTACCCCAGTTTGAAGGAGTATCTGATATTTTGTTTTCTTTGGCATAATACACAATTCAGTCTCGTTCCAATGTATAAAATTGGAGGATAATATTCACCTTGTTAGGGCTTTGTTGCCAGCCATATTATGGTTGTGATGGTAGGGTTATTGTCACATAGAAAGTTAACTGAAACAAACTATTAGTATTATGTAAGTTTTGAATGTAGTGATTTATTAAAAAAACACTTAGGTAATTTGTGTTCATTTTAGAAAATCAGATAACCTGAAGAGACAAGGAAAAATAAAAGTAACCAATAATTGTGCTTTTCAGAGTATTTTAATGTTTTCGTATTTTTAAATATGCATGTATGCAGACATAATTTGGTAAGATATTACAAAGATTTTTAGCACTTGGAAAGTTAATGCACTACTTCTCAGATGTTCAGAAAAAATGTCCTTTTTATTATCTTTTACTACTGTGGAGCCCCTGTTCTTGATACAGCAAGTATGGTGTCAGTGGGAATGCTTGTCTTGTTTAAAATGATCTTGTTCATCTCAGTATTTAGCCTTTTTCCTCTTTCAGGAATTCTTTGCTTGTTGCCTTTTTTCCCCCTAAGACATTGACTTGGTGTAGGAGGAATCTTACACTAATTGTGTTGGGAGGGATGATCTCTGAGCTTTATGCAGTGTCTTACTGCTTTCCCTACAATTTGTCTGGTCTGGTCTGGTTCTGACCTGCTGTCTGCTGACATCTCCCAAGGCATCTTTTTGGGCTTTGCACTTGATGCTGAAAAATTCTAATATGATTAAAATATGTAAGTGAAAATTCATGTATCATTTTATTTTGTTTTTAGTATGTTTTAATTTCTATGTTAAAAAACCTTGCCTATTTTAATTTATGAGCAGAAGGACAAATTTTATTCTTCTCTTCATACACATTAAGAAACAGTCCCAGAAAGGATATTAATTTGATTAGTTAATTACACAGCTTATAATCTTTTGTTATAAGGTGATAATAGGAGATACTGGGTGACATGAATATGTCATGAATATGACATATGAATATGACAACATGAATATGAATAAATTATATGTTGCCAGTAACAGAGAGTTTGTATGTTCATGTATATAAAAATACACAAGTGCAGCTAAAACATTAATGGGAAATCAATATTTTATAGATCTCATGAGGCGTCAAGAAGAACTGAGACGCCTGGAAGAACTCAGGAACCAAGAGCTGCAAAAACGAAAGCAAATACAACTGAGGTAAAAAGAAAAAAATGTGTAACATAGATGTGAATACACATAGTTCTTGTGTGTTACTAATAAAACTTCATTCTTCCTTTGGGAACAGATTGTACAGATTGGAAAAATACAAATAAAACTGTCCATTTTTTACTGTACTTGGGCAATTACTCCACAGACTAGCATAATTCTTTGTTATTCTTAGCATGTTTTTAGCTGGTTATTGACACTTTGGTTGCATACACTATGACCTTACATATGAGGCCTAGGCATTAATGTGTATAATTTAGTATAAGAATGCATCACTGTTTATTTCAGTTTCTCTTTTTGTTTTCCTGTGTATAGCATTGCTGTGAATGGCTTTATGTATAAACAAATTAACAGCTTTCCATATACCTGTAATATTTAGTTATGAACTATAACTAGATAAGTGTTACTCTTACAAGTTTCAAATATAATAATTAAGAAATGTTATGATCAAAGCTATGATTAAAGCAAACTTAAAATTTGTTGTTGAAAGTGCTATAAAAGTAGTAAATGCTTGTGTACGAAGTAAGGTGCTCATAGGAAATAAAAGATAAAGCAGAAAGTGCAAAACCATGGATCAGTGTGAAGTGTCTTCACAGTCTGGGGGTAGGTAGTATTCAGTTTATTTTAGTTTACTTTTTTCAACAGTGTATCTGGTTTATAGTCATGCTTCTGTCTTGGAACTATTCTGGTTTTACTCTAACCTACTTGGACAAAGCTGCACCAGTGTTCTAACCTGGGTAATTGTTAGAAAGTCTCAAACTTCTCCCTATAAAGTATAGGGGTAGAGCTTTAATAAATTATCCAGGTAATTCTGGTATACCCTAAAGTTCAGAGTCAATATTGTATACAGCTCCCCACATAAACTCCTTACATGAGGGACCTTTTTTTTTTTAAAAGATTTTATTTACTTTCTTAAAGAGAGAGTTGGGAGGGGAAAAAGAGAGAAACATCAGTGTGCAAGAGGAACATCTATTTGTTGCCTCTTGCAGTGCTCCAAACTAAGGACCTGTCCCTGCATTCCAGGCAAGTGCCCTGACCAGGAATGAACTGATCTTTCAGTTTGCCTGATGACACCCAACCCAGTGAGTCACACCACTCCGGGCTAGGGGCCTTTTTTAAAAAATATTTTTTTATTTATTTATTTTTAGAGAGAGGGGAAGGGAGGGAGAAAGAGTGGGAGAGAAACATCAATGTGGTTGTGTCTTGCATGCCCACCAATGGGGGCCTGGCCTGCAGCCCAGGCATGTGCCCAGGACTAGGAATTGAACCGGTGACCCTTTGATTAGCAGGCCAGCACTCAATCCACTGAGCCAAACCAACCAGGGCTGGGATCTTTTTTAAGGGTCTGGTTGCTTGTTTTTTTTTCTTTTTTTTTTTTTAATGTAAATGTGGTAAAGTCTGTTCTATTTACACAAATTAAAGGAAACCTCCCCTTCTGTAACAAAAAAAAACCCCTATCTGAATCCAGTTTTCTCCTGTTATATTTATACTTGACAGTTTTTTGGGTGTTTTTTCAGACCTTAGTGGTATTTTGTCTTTTTCTAATTTTATATTTCAATTACTGTTTATATTCAATACTACTTTGTATTAGTTTCAGGTGTACGGCAGAGTGGTTAGACAATCATACACTTTACAAAGTGTTCCTTATCCCCGACATTTCCAGTATGTACCTAGCATTAGACATAGTATTGGATTTGCCAAATCGTCTGTTTAGTTTTTTTTGTAAAGTAAAAGATACAGTTTTCATTTTCACCAATAACTTTATTGATTTGGATGTCTTGAGTATGTCAGCTATGACTTGCTATTGGCTTCTAGTGGGTGGAGGCCAGGGGTGCTGCTAAACATCATCCAATGTATAATACAGACCCCCACCAAAGAATTATTTTGGAGAAGTGGTTGATTTTTAGAACTGAACAGTTTAAGATTAGCCTGAAATATTTTTGCCGGGCAGCAAGAACATACTTCAAAAGGGGCGGGGCATGTTGAAAGGATACAGGAGCCAAAAATAAAGGAGCCCCTAATGGCCAAAGTTGGAACCATTTCAACAACAAAGTAAAAAATAATACTATTAGATTTAAATGTTTAAAATTAATTTCTTGATTTTAGAGAGAGAGGGACATGTATTTGCTATTACATTTATCCATTCATTCGTTTATTTATTTACTTATTTTTAAAAGATTTTATTTATTTATTTTTAGAGAGAGGGACAGGGAAGGAGAAAGGGAGAGAAACATCGATGTGTGATTGCCTCTTGCATGCCCCTCACTGGAGACCTGGCCTGCAACCCAGGCACATGCCCTGACTGAGAATTGAACGAATGACCCTTTGATTTGCAGGCCCATGCTCAATCCACTTAGCTACACCAGCCAGGGCCTGTTTCACTTATTTATACATTCAGTGGTTGCTTGTTGTATGTGCCCTGAATGGAGATTGGATTTTCAGCCTTGATGTATTGGGACAATGGTCTAACCAACTGAGCTGCCTATCCAGGGCCGATAGTGTTAGATTTTTAAATTATAAATATCCATGAGTCCATATGATAGTAGTAAGTAAATGAATGAATAAATAAATAAATGGAGGAGAATTCCAATTAATAAATGCTGGCCCTGGCTGGTGTGGTTCTGTGGGTTGAGCTCTGGCCTGTGAACTGAAAGATTGCCAGTTTGATTCCCTGTCTAGGCACGTCTGGGTATTAGGCTGGGTCCCATGTGGTATGTGAGAGGCAACTGATTGTTTCTCTTGCACATCAATGTTTCCCTCTCTTTCTCCCTCCTTTCCCCTCTCTCTGAAAAGAAATAAAGTCTTAAAGATAAATAAATAGATAAATAAATAAAGGAGGAAGGAATGCTAGAGAGAGAGAATCACCAGTGGACAAACACTGCAGTGATGATTGTTACACACATGGTCTACTGATGAGTGCTCAAGTTGTTATGCCAAACTTGAGAAACAGGGTTTATGTACACAGTCTCAAATTTGTACTCGGTACAGAGGGGAAAAAAAGTAAACTTAACGTGGAGAAACCCAGCAGACACCACCATTTCCAAGTGTTAAGGTTTATGTCACCTGTAATAAGACATTGACACCAGGGCCCCCTTAATATGATGCACTTAGAAGGATAGTGTCATTTTTGTGGTTTTCTTGTCAAAAGCTTATAGCCTCATGCTCGTTAAAAGGAAACTTAAGACAAACCCAAATTGAAGGACATTATACAAAATAGTTCTCTTTAAAAGTGCTAAGTTTATGAAAGATTAAGAGCAGCTGAACTGTTACAGACTGGAGGAGATAGTAATTAAATGCAATGTGGTAATTTGGATAGGATCTTGGTACAAAAGGATATTAGTTGGGGAAAGTGGGTGAAATTGGAATAAGATCTGTAGTTTAACTGTAGCATTATATTAGTGTTAATTCCTGGTTTTCATAATTGTACCATGCCATATGTAAGGTGTTAGTATTACAGAATGCTGCATGAGGGATATGTAGGAACTCCACACCATTTTTACAACTTTTCTGTAAGTTTAAAATTAGTTAGCAGTAAGGGGAAAAAAGAAAAAGTACCTTAGTTATTGGGGATACAGTGGGGAACAAAGCACAAGTGCTGCCACTATGGAACCTACCATTGTATAGAAGGGAAGCAGATACAAATTGGAATAATCAGATGATTAAAAAGCAGATAAAGTGCACAGAACTAGTGTGGAGTACTTACTTGAATTTTTAATAGGTTACGTACTGTCAAAGGTGAAATACTGGTTGCTTGACTTGGTAAGCATTCTATGTGTATGGTGGTTTTTTATTGAATAGATTTTCATTAATTTTATTTAATGTGCATGGTTATGTCAGATTCAGTTTGAAATTCAGATAACTATATACTAACAGTAAAAACACTGAGTGATAATTTGATGGGAAATCTTTTTTTTTATGCATCACTTGTTGTAATGATTTTATTTATTTATTTTAGATAGAAGGGAAGGGAGGAAGAGAGGAGAGAAACATCAGTGTGTGGTTGCCTCTCGAGCGCCCACTGGGGGCTGACTTGGCCTGCAACCCAGGCATAAGCCCTGACTGGGAATTGAACCAGCGACCCTTTGGTTCACAGGCTGACACTCAGTCCACTGAGCCACACCAGACAGGGCTGTTGGGAAATCTTTATGCTTCTTTACATTCTAACAGATAGGGGACAGTGACAAATTTGTTAACTAGCTTACCTTGTGCCTGGTGGTGGGGAGTTACTTTTGAAATTACTGTGATAATTTTGATTTAATTATGTGAACAACTTGTCTTCAAATCAGTAGTTTTGTAGCATGTGTCAAGGGAAGGGGAAAATTGCTGTGTTTGGGAATTTAATTTCATGTGAAATTATGAATTTCATAATACTTGTAAGCCAATAAAACTCTAGTAGTAAAACTGCAGAGATTTACCTGACTGGGCTGCTACCACATAAGAATGGTGAATTGTTAATAAGCCAGATAGTTGGGACTGTGCCTTTTTGTTTTAAATTAGTTGGAGATTGAAAAAACTAGTTTAAGAAAATATATTTTGAGAGAAATTACATGATTTGTGTGGTATATATATGTATACTTTTCCTTTCAGTGCTACAAATTAATTTAGTTTTTCATGGGTCACTTAGGTCTCAGAGGCTGTTGCAGTGAAGAAGGAAGGCCAGTACAAAGGAGTTATATGTGTTAGTTCACTTAGTTGTTCATCTGTTGCTTGTTCTTGTGTTCCTTCATTCCTTCTCTCACTGCCCTCCTACCTGCCCACCTAATTACCATTCTTTCTCATTTATGTCATTTGACATAAATATCCTATGAAAGGTGTCTGGGGCTTAGCGCTGAACAGGAACAAAGAGCAACAGGACTGTTCTCACTAGTCATATTTCAGCTTAGTGCCTAGAGCCGCTCATTTTTCAGAATCCTACAAAAATATGTAAGACCTGAAAACAATTACTTGGCTTCAAGTTAAATCTTGAAATTTAGGTTTTTATCAGTTTCAATTATATATAACAGGAAGGATGTTAATATTTATCACAATTTCTTATTAGTTCCATTTATGGCCATAGATGACCATTAAAGCATTAGTGGATTAGAAAAAAATGCAAATCAGCCTTGTCTGGTGTGGCTCAGTGAATTGAGCAATGGACTGTGAAGCAGAGGGTCGCTGGTTCAATTCCTGTTCAGGGCACATGACTGGGTTGCAGACCAGGTTCCCCAGTGCAGGGAACATGAGAGGCAATCACACATTGATACTTTTCTTTCTCTCCTTCTCTCTCTCCCTTCCCCTTTCTCTACAAATAAATAAAATCTTAAAAAAGAAAAAGGGGAAAAAGACAAAATGCAAAGCAAACATGTACAATAAAGGAATGTTCCTGTGTACATTCCGTGAATTTAGATTATTGACTTGTGAGTGTTGTATAATCACAGTTCAAAGTCAAAAAGAAACGAATTTATGGAGAAAAGAAAGGGAGGAAAAATAGAAAATGTTTAAAGTGAATTTGCCTTTTTACTATGTTTTTTCTCCTGATTTATAAATCTGTTTTTATGTTATCGGAAAAAGTTGCTTTAGCAGTGGGAGAAGTACATTTTAAATTTTATTTAAAATACTTTATCTGGCCTGGTCAGATTGCTCAGTTGGTTGGAGCATCAGCGCTACACCGAAAGACTGCAGTTCGATTCCTGGTCAGGGCACATAACCCAAATTGTGGGTTTGATCCTTGGTTGGGGTGCATAAAAGAGGAAATCAGTGTTTCTCTCTCTTTCTGCTCCCCTTCTCCCCCTCATCTCTCTCCTTTCCTCTGTCTAAAAATCAGTAAACATACCCTTGGGCGAGGATTAAAAAAATACTTTATATGGTTTTTGTTTCAAAATGTTACATGTTACAAAATTCACATACTACATTTGTGTGTAAAAATAAAAAGGGTAATGTTCCTGTTCCCTAGATATTTCCAGTGTGGCATAAACTTTTCATGCTCTCTTCTGTGCTCATACAAATTATATTTATTTTTAATTTTAAATTTTTATCCTCAGCAGAGGATATGCTTTTTGATTTTAGAGACAGGGGAAGGGAGGGAGAAAGAGAGGGAGAGAAACATCAATGTGCGGGAGATACTTTGATGAGTTGCCTCTGCCACATGCCCCAACCAGGGACTAAATCCTCAACCTAGCCATGTGCTCTGACAGGGAATCAAACGTGTGACCCTTTGGTTTTCAGAATGATGCTCCAAATAACAGAGCCACCTTGGGTCAGAGACATACAAATGATTTTTTAAAAATATTTTTACTTATTTATTTTTAGACAGAGGGGAAGGGAAGGAGAAAGAGGGGGAGAGAACAAACCATCAATGTGTGGCTGCCTCTTGTGTGCCCCTCACTGGGCACCCAGCCCACAACCCACCCATGTGCCCAGCCTGGGAATCGAACCAGCAACCGTTTGGTTCACAGCCTGCATTGAATCTACTGAACTACACCAGCCAGGGCCATACAAATGATTTTTAAAAGCAGCTATAAGAGTACCATTCTGGTATTTGCCTTTTTTTTTTTTTCTAACAGCTATACCACATTACCACATTTTTTTATGTCTACATATATGCACATTACCTCTTTGTGACAGTTGTATTATGTTCCTTTGCTTCAAGAGACCATAATTGTATCCCATGTATACTTAATTGTGTCTTCAACCTTTTCCATGGTATATATCTGTGTATAGACAACCTTGCATATGTGTGCAGATATTTCTGTTTAGTTTACTGGAAATGGACTTGGACATTTAAAATTATCTTGAGTATTGTAAGTTGGCCTTCAGCAAGGTCATTGTTGCAATTCTGAAGACCAAAAAGCTTTAAAAACCAAAAGCCTTCTCGTGCCATAATGTGGTATGATCAGATATGGGTCTATTTGATAAAAAGACCTGACCTGCCCTTATGTGTGGTCACGTCAAACCTTTACTATGCCAGTGTAAGAAACGTCCCAACTTGTAAGAATTTTGCAGGTTTATTTGAGCCAAGCTGATGACAGTTGCTGGAAAACAAAATCTCAACCAACTGAGAAAATCCCCCGAGAAGATGGGAGTTTAGCACCTTACTGGTCTACAGCAGAATCAAAGGAAACGATATAATGGGGTTTCATAAAATCCTTTGGTGATAGATAAGGAGGCTGGAGACAACAAAGTGGGAAAACCTCTGTGATTGGATAAAAGATAAAATGATAGACAGTGTTGCACAGGTGGGTATAGGATAGTTGACAGTTAACATAACAATAACGGGATTTGTGGTCTCCCATTGGTGTAGTACCTGTGCTTTGAAGGGGGTGGTGGTGTGTGGATTTGACATTCCACAGGTATGTTGTTGTAGATGCAAAAAGACAACAGACCAGCTCAGTTAAAGTAAAAGGCCTTTGTTAGGGAAAATACTGGCCTAGGTCATGACTACCTGCTGTGAACTGCTTTTACTTAATACATTTTTTTCATATCATCCTTTGTGGTTAAATTAGGTCTCTGAGTTTGTAAGGCTGATAAGCAGGGCTCCCCTGAGCTTGACTGATTTAGTGTGTGGCCCCTTTTCTTCCCACAACTGTGTTCCTAGAATGTGAATGTTCATTTAATGCAGAAATAATTAATGTGGTTGACTATTGGGTTTTGTCTGAGATCTCACTGGGGATATAATAATAGTATATTGGCTCATTTTTCAATAAATACTCAATTTGAAAACGTGGCCTTAAGGTGTTTTGAATAAGGGAATTTTTACCTGTTCTGTGTATTGTCAGCAGTGTATGAATATAAAACTATTTTAAAACATTGTGTTTATTGATTTTAGAGTGTGAGAGGTAAGGAAATAGGAGAAAAATACAGAAATATCGATTTGTTGTTCCACTTATTTGTGCATTCATTGGTTGATTCTTGTATGTGCCTTGACCAGGGATCGGACCCTCAACCTTGGTCTGTGGGGCCAATGCTCTAACCAGCTGAGATACCTGACCACGGCTGAAACTATTTTCTTTTTTAAAAAATTTATTTTTCAATGATAGTTTAAGTTCAACACTATTTTATATTAGTTTCAGTTGTAATATAGTGATTAGACAGTCATATACTTCACACAGTGGTCTCTGATATTTTACCCACCTGGCACCATACATAGTTATTACAGTATTATTGACTATATACCCTGTGGTTTGTATCTCTGTGACTCTTATAAACTACCAATTTGTACTTTTTAATCCCTTCATCTTTTTCACCCAGTCCCCTAAATCCCCTTTGCTCAGTCTGTTGTCCTCTATATTTATGAATGTTTCAATTTTATTTATTTTGTTGTGAAATCATATGGTATTTGTCTGAAAGTATTTTTTTAACAGTAAAATTTATGTGTTAATGTCGAAGAAGTGGGTTAACCAGTTTACTTGAGTAGAGTTTTATGTTGGGAACTTAGACTTACTTCCAAAATAGTAAGTAACTTACTTCTTACTTCTCAGATTTTGCTTGAAATTCCTTAGGAACATTGTCTTGTTACTTGCATGTGGCCTGACATGAAATCCTAACAGCCTTTTTGTTCTGCTGGCTGTGGGAGATACCACCATGTCTTTTAGTTCAGTGACTTGTATTGTGGGGGAGTATTGTACAACAAAGAACAACAAAGTTTCTTGAATTTTTAATATTAATGCTCAGTGTAGAAAGGTGCATATAACAGTGACCTGGAAAATGAGACCTACTAAAGGGTATCAGCATTATATAGTCTTTACTATTTGAATTACTTTTTTGTTTTAGGGTGGAGGGCATGTATATGTGAATTTGATTTTAATGCCACTATTATATCAGTTACTTCAATATTATTTTGTAGATTTTCCTTCTTAATCCTATAATATCTAATTACTGATTTAATAGTAATCCTGCAAATATAGTTTTATTTTTTTCCTTAATGCATGAATATACCTTTAGGACAGAGGTGTACAAACATTTTTGGGGAAAGGTTAGATAGTAAATACTGTTTTAGGTTTTGCAGGTCATATGGTCTATCTTAACTAATCAACACTGCTGTAGACCAAAGGTGTGGTCATAGCAGTAAGTAAATGCTTGTTCTATAAAAACTAAATTTACACAAATAGGGTATAGACTGACCCTTGCTTCAGTGGGTTGTTGAAATGGGGGTGAGAGGGTTTGTTAAGACCTCCTTCTACAGATAATAGAATTTTTATGTAGGCATTGAGGTTTTTTGCACTGGCTTACATAGGGATAGATTCTGAGTGTCTTTGTACTCTGCTATACCAGTGATGGATCCCAGGCTTTTCTCTTTAAATAGCAACAGAGTACATCTTTGAGGTTTTAGACTCTGAATTTTATTTCTCTTAAGCATTTAAGTACCCTGGTTATATGTTGTTCCTTTTTTGAATTTATCCTAGTTAAGCTACTTTATTTTTTGGATTTATTTGATTTATTGAAGTTTTAGAGCAAAACAGGAAGGTAGATCTAAGGCAGTCATTATTGAAAGATTTAACATAATGCGACTTACATAAATTGCTTTGTTTAACCTGAAATAAAACACCCGATTATGGCTTACTAAGCTATCATGCTGAAATTTTATTTAAATATCTTTTAGACATGAAGAAGAGCATCGTCGTCGTGAAGAAGAAATGATTCGACACAGAGAACAAGAGGAACTGAGGCGACAGCAAGAAGGCTTTAAGCCAAATTATATGGAAAATGTAAGTAAAATACCAGTTTAACTAAAATTATTTTCTGTTAGGTCAACATTGTATGTTTAGAATTCTTTAGATATTACTTTATATATTAGCGTATTTTCTAATCTTTCTGAATTTTTTTTATGTTAAACTAATTTTTTCAAACCTCTTTCAGGTAGTAAATTAGAATTAGTTTCTGAAGATAATTCTCATGTTTTATGAAATGGATGTTAAATTTTTCTTTAGTTTTATTTTTTAAAAATATATGGTACTAAATTAGAAATCTTTATAAATTCATCTCCATTTGACTGATTTTCACCATTTACTGAGATTAAAAATTCTTTAATTTGGAAGATTTTAGACATTATAAAAGTAGATTAGTATTATGTGTTAATCACCCAACCATAATAGTTATCAACACATGGGTGATCTTTTTAGTCTTCTAGTGTGCCTACTTTTCTAAACTACTTTGTGTGAAATACCTTACTTCATATGATTTTATTTATCAGTATTTTAATATAGATTTCTAAATGATAAGGATTTTTAAAAATGTCTTTATATCTTAAAAATGGTCAATTCTTTAATTTCAATGAAAGCCCAAATTTTCTCAGGTCTTAAATGCTTTTTTTAATTTTTATATTTTAAAAAGAATTTATTTTTAGAGAGAGAGGTGGGGAGGGAGATAAAGAGAGAGAGAAACATTGATCACTTGCCTCTCCCACGCTCACAACTGGGGACCTGGTGGGCAATCCAGCCATGTATCCTGACTGGGAGTTGAACCAGTGACCTTTCTGCTCACAGGTGGTACTCAGTGCACTGAGCCATACACTGGGGCTTTTTCTTTTCTTTTTTTCTTTTTTAAACAGTTGTTTTCTTCAAGTTGTCTGATCCAGTCTTTTTAGTCCATAGGTTTTCCTGTTCTTTTTAATTTTTTTCCTTTTTTTAAAATATAAAGAAACAAAGTCTCATTGCACACAATATCTTACATTTTGAATTTCGTTGATTGTATTCTTGCGGTTGTCAAGTTTCTCCATTCCTGAATTTCTTGTAAACTGAAGTTAGTTCCAAAGACTTGATCTGACTCGAATTTTTGTTTTGGGGAGGCAAAAATGGTAGGGCAAATAAGAATTCTTCAAATGTTTAAAATTTGCAAGTTCTTAATGATAACCAACATAGTCATTGTTTATCTAAGGTGAATGCCAGTTTAACTCATTCTGAAAAATATTTACTAGTATTTTTTTTCTGTAGATGTTTAAAAGCCATAATTATTTAGTGAGTTTGTGAAGCTAGAAGTATTCAGGTCATTGGTGTCCTTTAGTTCCGGTTCCTCTTTCCCTAGAACATAAACTTTCTAATTTGAAAGAATGCATATACAGTAAAATAAGTTCTTTTTTAAAAATTTATTTTATTGATTATGCTATTACAGTTGTCCCATTTTTCTCTCCCCTTTATTCCCCTCCACCCTGCACCCCCTCCTTCCACCAGCATTCCCCCACCTTAGTTCATGTCCATGGTTATAAATGTAAGTTCTTTGGTTTCTCCATTTCCCACACTATTCTTTACAGTAAAATAAGTTCTTACTTGCATAGCAACAAGAAATTGTTATCTTCCTATCAAGTAAATATCCATTGAATAAAAATTGCAGCATTTAATTCAATTAGAGATGTTTTTATTTATAAGTTGTATGAAAAATTTGACTTAATTGATTTTCAGTTCATCACCAAATTAGTTGAGTAGGTTTTTAAAGCATTGTTGAAGTTTTTTCAGTAATTTCTAACGTTTTGAATTCTCTTTTTCTCCTTGAGTGCATAGGACTTGGTCAGTGACATATTTGAAACCATGGTTTTAGGTTTTTTGGCTGTTATATTTGAATATAAATCTGTTAGATTTATCATTGTGAGGAAATTTTCTGATGTTGATAAAAGAAAGTAGAATTAAAAATTTCAGGCTCATATTTTGAAAACTAGTTGCTAATATTTTTCTCTTCAAATATAGTCAAGATATAAACTACATGTGTTCTGTTTTTTACGGAAACTTTATTTTGTTCTATTAAGGATTAGGCAATCTGTCTGAGTCTTCATGTATGTGAACATGTCTTTTACTAAAATGCTTTGCTTATAGTAAAATGGGTAGAATTAACTTTCTTAACACTTTTCTGGCATAAACTTGACATTCTTGGAGCATATGTGTAGCTGTTTGCAATAATGTCATATATATAAGTGTTTTAGGGGTCTAGAAGGAAATGATTAAAATGTATCTTACCGTTAAACTTTATTAAGTTGACTTGTCACAAATTTGTTTGCAGACGGTTCTTTGAAGTCATTTAAGTTTTTCAAAACATATACCAGTGTTTTATTATGCTCAGTGGCATTTAATATGAGTATAATTAATGGACAGATAGTTTCAATTTTTTTACTTTTCTATTAAAAACTGATTTGGAAAATTGCAATTTAAAATTGAAATACTGCATGTTATTTTAATTTAAAAATACTTGTATGTTTAAAATGCATTTTAATGGTGGGCAAAAGTTTGCAAATACTGAATGAATTTTGCAATTAAAATAAATTTGATATTTAAATACTCATGTTGGATTTGTTAGCATTTTAAAAATAGACTATTGTTTCACCCTGCTACAGAGCTAAGAATGGTATTTATATTTTTAAAGGGTTAATGGATGGTAGGAAAAAAGAAATATTAGAGATATCTGTGACCCACAGAACTTAAAATACTTATTATTTGGCCCTTTACAGAAAAAGTTTGCTGAAGCCTGGGCTAGAGTGTTGGTGACTTTAAAAAAATAAATTAATACTCATATAAGGCTACAAAGTTACTGTGTTCTTAACTTTTTGAAGCAGAACCATATTTAAAATAGTGTGTAACAATGAAATTAAATCTTGGCGGGGGGGGGGAATAGTTCTTGTTCTATTTTTAGATCTCTTTGAGATTAGAAATTATGAATGGTTACAAGTTTTTCATCATTTTCTTGTCAGTTTTATGTGGTTTCTAGCTTCATGATGCTTGTTAATTTATACTAATGAATTAGTAAAGAAACATTAAGAAAAGTTCTTTATAAGACTTGAATATTTTTATGTTAATACAGAAAACATTTAGGCAGTTTTAGTTATTTTATATTTACTTTGAAAACTGGGTTTGGAAAAGATTATTAAACAATTTTAATGTTTATTTTTGTCTTAAAAGCCTTGAAATTAGGCCCTCTCATATGCTTTCTCTTTTCTACTGTTCAGTTTAAAGGGAAGAATCAAATGGTAAGTGTTTAGCTCCTCAGATAATGAGAGTAAAGTAGATTTACTTGGTTTGTTTTAATACGCCACCTCTTATTTCTTTCTAATATTTCTATTAGAAATATTCCAGTACAACTAATAGTATGGGCTTTGAAGTATAAAATAAATACTGATTTCCATATTTTGTGTATTTGAATAGTACTTATAAAAAATGTGACAAAAGGGAAAGCACACATCATGTGTGGTCATGCTTTCTTTGTTAGCCTGGAACTTTATAATACTATGACATACATATGAATATATTTTTTAAAAGTTTCAAGGATATGTCATCTCTTCCTCACTTAGAAGTTGTCATTTTTACTTTATAGTTTATTTTTTCTTAAAAGAATACCAAGCTTTTTGACAGTAGCTCTAGTAATTATAAATTAAACATGTTATTTTTCATTCTTGTAGCATAATGCATTTTTTACTATCATAGCAATGTATATATATATTTTTATGCTGTTCCTTCATTACATTGAGGTTTGTATTTACTAGAGTGTAAAGTGTATTTGAACCATTTTGTAGGTAGTATTTACTAGGTTGAAATTTTCTACTTACCATAGTTTATAGCTTTTGGACACATCACAGGAGGTTATTCTGTTTTTTAAAATTTATTAATTTTATTGGGTGTTATTCTGATAACAGTAAGATTTTATAAGATTGTCTTATGATTGTGTATTCATGTTAGTTTGCTCCACTTACTGTTGGTCAAAGTGGTCTAAATATTGAAGTATTACAGTGTCCCAGCCTTTATATGTAGATGCACTGTGGGCTGGAGTAAAGGGAAGATTTTTTTAAATTGATATTTTGGGAGGGAGGGAGGAAGGGAGAGAGAGAGAGAGAGGGAGGGAGGGAGGGAGGGAAGGAGGGAAGGAAGAAGGGAGGGAGGGGGAAAGGGGGAGAGAGAGATCAATTTATTGTCACACTTATCCATGCATTCATTTGTTCATTCTTGTATGTGCCTTGACTGGGGATTGAACCCATAACCTGGATGTATCTGGATGACGCTCTAACCAACTGAGCCTACCAGGCCAGGGAAGGGGGAGATTTTAATTAGATTTTTTAACACAATGCCATCTCTAGAGTAAACTTTGTTTTCTTGGGAAAATGGTAATGTCATAAAAATACCTAAATGTCATTCTAGCTGTATTAATTATAAAATACTTTGTTTAGTAAAATTGGGGCTGTGTTTAGATTGGGTGCTATTTGTTAGTAGTGTCTTTTTCTGGTGTGATACATGTTAATGTTTGGTTTTCAGTGAAGAAAAGAGTAGACCTTCATATTTCTTTCAAATACATACCTGAATTGATATTGCAGAGTTTTTATTCCTATTTGAATAGGTGGGAATAGCCCTGGTTATTTCAACACATATACATAATAAACCCAAAAAGATATTTGTATTATATACTAAGGCAGTAATTTGACCCAGTTATGTTTGTTTCTGTCAGTGGCTGTCCCATTAAAGCTCCAGGGATTATTAATTAGGCCAAAAGCATTAAGGAGATGTGATCAAGACGCTAAGGGTCTACTGTCTCTTCCATGGCAATGTTTTTCAAACAATGCATAAACAGTTGGGGAGGTTTTAAAAACTATGGGTTCTTAGATCTCCAACATACAAATTGATTTGTGTTGTGGTTTCAGTAGATTCTGATACATTGTTTTGATTGCTTTTTTGGCTAAATCCAGTAGCTGACAACCTTTGTACCACATGGAACTTAAGAAAATGCCCAAGATCAAATC